TTCGATATTGTCATCTGTAAATGTTTTTTTTTTTATTGTCTCACTACATTTACTTCACATAAAGACTGCTTTGTCATCTGTTGCTGTGTTATTCTTCCCCAAAGCAAAGAATAGGCCATATTCAGAGAATAAAATTGCTCAATTTGCAACGATCTGAACAAGTTATCACGAAAATACGTCTAATAAAAGGGTCTAATAAACTGTACATATCCGCAGGTTTAGATGTATAAAGTTTCCAACTGGAGCAATGTTGCTATCTAGAGCACAGTCCTCGGTCCACTGCCATGGCATATACAAAGTTTGCTACTGTTCATCAAAGCTATGCATAAAAAAAAGTAGCCTCTCTGAGCCAAGAACAATCGGGAGGCCTGGCCGACTGCGAGGGACTGAAACTTTCTCGACTAATGCCTGTGGGTTCGTGCGGGCATCAACCCCAGATTTAAGTACAGGAGTGACAATGTGCTCCATATTTCTCATCAGATATACATGACCTCGCAACGGTAACCCCAGATCTGCAGCAATGTATCCTTCCTCTTCTGCCTGTCTCTCTCTATTTTGCCTTCAGCCCCGTCCTCAACTCTATTCAGTCTCTCTTCTCAGGTCTATTCTCAAGTCTGTTCTACTTCCTGTGCCCTCTGACCACCGTGCCATTTACAGAAAATAGACACGATTGCACGGACATGAATCTAATGGCAAAGGGACCTGCTGAAGGCAATCTTATTTTAAACATGATTTAAAGTGTTCCTCAATACAAAAGTCATGTTAAAATGTATGAAACCTGAATATTTGTTACATGAATTTGTCTTTTAGAATCACTCTTTAACTGGACTTGTCTTTGGGAGTTCAGTATCTTGACCAAGGTGATAGTGGTTGAAGATCGGACCACTCACCCTACGAGAATTTATAATATTGGTAAAAGACTGTTAATTGCTTTATTGTTGAGCCACAGCCAATAAGGGTGGCTGAAGCTCAGCAATAAAGCAATTGTACCTTCTCAGGGATGATCGTCGTGTTTTAATACAGGTATAGAGACAATCATTCACAATTACACTAATGGGTATTCCCCATACCGTAGGTGTCCCCAGTCCTCTGATTTGCTTGTCCTTGGACAGTTAGAGGAAACTGGGAAACCCAGAGGAAACCCCAATGGACTCTACACAAAAAAGGACAGAGCTGTGCTTATGCAACATTGCAAACAATAGAATGGTGCAGGGATGACGTATTTACCCGGAAGTAAGCTGCGCATGGGTTCCCTCGATATAAGATCTGTGGAAAACGAAGCTGTTTGATGAAAGCACGTTTTGTTCAGCCGGATAATATCCACATGTCTACCCTACTTTTGTTTTAACAGTTTGCAAGAGCGCAGGTACTTGCTTTCAAGCAGAACAGGGGCACACAAACTTAACACAGGAGTGTTTACGTGTTCAGTGTAATGACGTACAACGTCCTCGACAACTTCTGTAGACCTATTCAGCCACTTGTTAACAACCATAGTTTTTCAGACGTGTAAACTCTTCAAGAATCACCAGTGGGGTCACTGTTGATGTATTTAATGTCGTAGAAAAAAACGTGATCTGTCTCTTACATTTGTGTCAACCACAGACCTTATTTCCAGCTATTTCCCAAAATCCTCTGGAGAAATCCCATCGACTCTGAGACGAGGGAACCGGAAGTGGTAAAATGCTAACTCACTTCCGGGTTTTAGGACTCGTCACTGCACCACTCTATGGCGTCACCCTGGGACTGCTGACTACACACTGATCGGCCTACTACCTCATATGCTGATGAAGGGCAAGGGGATTCTGTTTTTGATTCAACCCCATTCACATGCTTTATACAGTGCAAGGTGTTTTACAGAGCCAATTGTTCAGAGTATTGAAGACATGTAACTCACATCACATTTAAGTCAAAAGTCGCTGAGAAATTGTCCAATAACAGTCTCTGAAACCTCAATAAGTCAAACCTGTCAAACTTTGGATTTCCTCACGTGAAGAGTTGGTGCTCATGAGGGATGATTTGGAGGGCACGTTAGCATGTCCGGCTTACTATCTTACAACCTACCATGGTAACCCAGAATGACTTCCAAGTGAATGGATCACATGAAACTACGTCAGTTTGTGTCTGAAACGGCTTTTTCTTCAGTCATGCCATATATGAAGCCATCAAGTGCATAATTAAGTCCCCAGTTACACGACTCATTTGAAAAAGGACTAGTCATTTGCAAACATAAAAATCTGAGTCAGTGACAGCTTTTCACTCATATGCAGCAGCCAATGTTTAATGCTTAATTAACTTGCGCTGATCAAATCTGCCACGTACAGTTGTCATTTCAGAAAGTAAAATGAACGATTGCTTATTTAAAACCAGAAGGGCACTAAGAGAGCAGAAACCTCCTGAAAACGCCAAATGCCCAATCACAGAAAAATAATGTGTATGCGCACTGTGATTCTGACCGCTCCAATACATAATGGGTTCTTTTTTGCACCATGCTACAGTCTAACGCCAAATTTCATAAAATCAAGCCAGTCGTTTTCCGAAATAGTGAGACAACAAATACCCAAACCAAAAACAAAACCACCTACAATTTTGAGTCGTAAATCTGCCTTGTTGTCATTGAAAACAGCATTATTTTTACATAGAACATTAACTAAGGGGGCGGGGCTAAGAAAACAGTCCCATCAGGTAACTCACACACACACACACACACACACACACACACACACACACACACACACACACACACACACACACACATATGCTTGTATGTGTACACACAACACCATGTATCTTCACATTCATATTCACAGTTTGCAGAGACGATGAATAATCCATCCACTTCACTCTCATTTCTTTGTGTTAAACAGCGATAATCAAGCGATAATCACTTAGTCTCCAGCGATGACACCGTATTTATTTTTCATCTCCGCTCAATCGCTCATCCTTCATGCAACAGTACGTGTGGGCGCTCGCTAGCTGGAAAGCACCAGAGCCCCCCTCATTTCAGCTTTCCCTCTCGAACACGCAGACGAGCATATGCACACATTTAATGAACACACATAATGAATGATTAACCAGTGGCAGCACAAGTGCAAGTTTAACACACATACACACACACAGACTGCTCCTGCAGTGCAGGTAAGAGAACAGAAAGGGGAACATAGGGATTGCTGTACCTTTGTTTCTACCTACAGGTTTTCGGAGAGGTGAAAGGATCCGAGGAGGGTAAAAGAGGGAAGTGTCATCCCGCGCAGAGCACCAAGAGAAAGACAGCAAAAAGTGGGGATAAGCTATTGTTATACTACCAGACACTGCTAAATGACACTTCATGCAAAATGTTGACAATCATGCAAATGGTAGAGAAATGGAAGAAGAGTAAGCAAGCAGCACACAACTTACAATTGACAGTTTACAGCTCATTTCCTCATCTTTATCTAAGGTCACACCAGAAAGAGGCAAAGCACCACCTTTAAGATGAGAGGGATTTGATGCTTGGTGAGTCTTTGAAAGTGAGGCCACTATTGGTCGTGGCTAGTTTTGTTGGCACAAAGAGAAAGGCTCATTTGACCTTGCTTGGTATTCAGAGGAGGCAATATAAGGTCATGAGGAAAAAGGTTTAAACCAAAGCTAATAAAATAGCTTTCTAAAATGTGGAACCCTAATCAAAAGGTCAGCACTGTCAAGACGGTTTAAGGTTAGTCAAGTTCGAAAATTAAACTAATTGAACAATTTCCAGGCAAAATGGTAACGATATAAAATAAATGCTCTTGTGTCTATCTATACCTGGATTTATAAATATAAGTGCATACAGAGGTAGAGGGGGGGCCCGGTTCATTCCAATGAAAGTGGCTCAGTTTTGCGTACAAAAACACTCAAATCTTGGCCAATAGAGCATGACTTCTTGCATGTTCCTTAAGCCCCGCCTCCAATTTGCTCTGTCAAAGCCAGTGATCTCTAGATTTGGCTTCTAGCACATTTGATAACTTTAAGATTTTTTTTAATAAAAGGCACGTGTTTGTAATATGAAGTTGATAGGCCGGCTTACAGACGTCGCCTACCTAATGTTACTCAATAGGAGGGTCTTTTTAGGCCCAAAATCACTTATTGGGGGCTTGCATCAATCCCCCAAACCTTCTAAATACCTTCATCCTAGGGCTGCTCAATTAATCTTATTTTTTTAATCACAATTACGATTTTGGCTTGCAAAGATTACGAAAACAACGTAATCGAAATAAAATGATTATTATTATTATTTATTTTTTTGGTTTTTCAGTTGAATTATACTTACAGTTCAGGGTAATCAACTGTTAAAAACATACTGTGCAAATATTTTTTTTAAATAAATGGATGTTTTCAAAGTAAATGGATAATCGTTTTTAATAATCGTGATATCAATTATTGACCCAAATAATCGAGATTATGATTTTTGCCATAATCGAGCAGCCCTACTCCATCCTTTACAACACTACTTTCTATGTTGGCACAGGGTGTAGGTATTGTCCAATATGATATAACTCTAGGGATACTAAGCTATTTCTTCCACATATACCTTACCGTACTGTGACACTTTTTGTTCCTTATTTTCTCTATATTTCCCATTAGTTTTCCTCTAAGCTGTCTCCCCTCATTGCAGTGATTTCCTTATCCTCCCTACTGCTTCTCATCCTCCCCCCTCCCCTACTCTGTCGCTGCAGAGGTCGAGCTGGAACAGTGGAGTGTGTCACTGCATGTTAGCTGTGGAACAGTACAAAATTATGTAATACACAGAAAACTGGGTGAAACGAGGGTGAGGAGACGCCTAAAGAGAGACGAAGGTGAGGTGAGGAACATGCCATGCAACGCACACAAACCCTCCCACTTCTCTGCAGCAACAATGGGAGTATTGCAACACACAAATGCACACGGACAGGTAGCAAAGGCACATAGCGTCACATAAAGCCACAATACCAAGCCAGGCAGCGAGTCAACAAAAACACAAACAACCATAAGGACAGAATACCTTGCTCTGACTTCAGGTGTGCGAGGCCTTGAGGAGAGAATTTCAGAGAGGCACAGAGAGAAAATGTTCAGAGTAACACGCCAATACTGCAGTTGTATTGTCATTATGCATGCTTTGCTTTAATGGCAAACCATGGCTAAATCATCACACTAAAAGTCAAAGCTTTCCCAAGTGCATGTAAAAAGCTTTCTCTAGAAACAGACAAATGACTAATAAAGAGAGCAGCACAGTATGTGAATATCAAGTAGCTCTGCAGGTTGTTAACTGAATACATGTCAATTAGAAATTACATAACTGGGTTACTTGTGCATGCCTGTCTGCCTTAATGCATAAACATATTTTAGATTACACTTATAAAAAAAATGAACAACATTTGGTACCATTTCACATAACTACTCTTTCTTGAGACTCACCTGGTTTTCTCTGGACTGCTGTGAATCAGGAAAAGAGAGAAAGAAGAGAAAAAGTCCTAAATTAGCAACACACACCAGCTTTGTTTGCATGTGGATCTATCATGCAAAACACACTTCTAAGCATTGTGCTACATGTAAGGACCAAAGAGGTGCCCCTTGACATGCCTGATCAGAGATAACCACTTAATCCCTGTGGAGAGAAACACGTACACATTGCATCTGTCCCGTCCTCTCAGGGAATCAGATTGACATATTCCACTCTTTCACATTTTTGAATATTGTTAGTGACATAATATTCTGCTACTTGTATCACACAGAGTGCCTCACACACATTCAAAGGAAGACATGAATCCAGGAGGATTTATGGTGTTGTGAGGTTTGTGGATGCTCCTTCAAACAGACCCATATCCTTCTCCTCCATCTTTTTTGTGCCTTTAACCCATACACTCAATCTTTTTTGTTGCACTGCTGACCCAAATTCCACATGGGGTTTCTCAGGGGAATGCTCACTGTTGGATTTCTGAAGATCACAGCATGGCGTGGGCAACACAAAAATGGCCATTGTGTGAAAAGATAAAATAAGCCACACATTACATTTCATCCCTCGTGGCAAACATGCTCAGCAGGATCTCACCCGTGGATGACACCTTGTGGTTATCAAACATGTCTGATTTAGGCCACATCAAAGATCACTGTGTGCACTCTGACTCAGTGGTAGTTAGGAGTTTTTTTACCCAGCATCCGACCTTAGTTTCAAACCTGGTGCTGTAGCCTGAAATGAATATTAATATATTATGATTTAATAGAGGCTAGGGCTTCACGATTTTGCAAAAAAATGACTTTCCAGTTGTATTGAAATATATTGCTTTTTGATTAGCAGTGTTGTATGAGGGAATGATATTTTTTGTAAACAATATTCACATTATTTGTTATGAATATGTTAAAAATGGTGGGATGCTTGGTGGGAAGAGCATCTGTTCAAAACAAGGATTTATTTAATTATTTGTTTAAGGTCTAGTCTTTAGAATACAGGTTGTAGGCTATACCACAATATTTAACAAATAATATTTTTAAATATTGTTTTACCTTTACTTGCGATTTGGATATTGCAATCTAAAAAATATATCTTAATCAATATGGACTACGTTAGATCGTTCAATTGTCTGTCTTAATATCTGATATGATTTGACTGTTTTGATCTCTGCAGGCTTCAAAGAGGCTTGGCCTGTATTCCACCACTGGATATGAATGGTTTTCCTATCCTAAAGCATTTAGTCCTTGGAACATTTTAGGATTAACTCAACCGAGGACATAAATACCATTTGAGAGGAGGCGCATAGAGACAATACTGCAGAAGGAGTTGGTGAAGGAGAGGCAAGGTCTCCTTTGGGGAGTCTAAAATGGCTGCTACTTCTCCCATAAGAATAGGATGACATTGGGAGAGGCAAGGGAAGGACGAAGCATGGAAGAGGGGGGGAAGGGGAGGTAGTGGCCAGCTGATGGACAGCGGCGCAGCTCCAGCACTCGAGAATGCATGAGTACCCCTCAATGTATGCCCTCTCATGAAGTGTTTTGTTCTGACTGTGCAAATGCTCTATAAGTGTGCCTGTCTGCGTGTTAAGCGCTCACTTTCCCCATGTAGATAAAGCCCTTTCCCTTGATGCGACAGCGCCCAGAACAAGCCAATGTGCCGCTGTGGACATGTGGTCCGAGCGTAATCCCCTGCTCTATTTTACCAGCAGCTTCACCACTCAAATCCAAACATCATTTTCAGCTTGGGCACTAGACACAAATGCCCTCTGCACTGGAATCAGGCAAGTCCCTGCACCATTTTTTCCATTTTTTTTCCCCCTGACCTACTTTTTATAGTAAGATTATTGTAACTGTCATTTCCATGTCTGTTTATTAATCCCCAAAGCTAAGCCTGAAGGCACCATTTTAGCACTTGCTTAACAGTTTGCTTGCCCTCGCCTTCAATTACTAGCCTTCCATCAAACCAGTGAATATGTTTTTAGCAGATGGGGCCTTAAAGTGTTCATTAGGAATGCAGGATGTGGAAACGGGAGATTCTTTTACATATTCATTAAACAATCCTCTTAATAACCTTGACCTTATGCATAACTCATTGTAAGTAGAAAACCCAAAGGTATTCGGGAGACTTCATAATGTCACCCCAGTTCATTTAATTGAACCGAATGAGGGTATCCAGATCATTACCATAAAAGAAACTGGTATTTGCACAGTTAATAACAGGGTCCGAATCAAGTTGATATTAAAGATGACTGAACAGTTTGCCTGCTATGGCGGACACGTGTGGAGAGCGAGTGTTGAGTGGTGTCTAATTTCAGCTCGTTGCCCTGACACAGTTAGTCACACAGATACATCCTGATCCACCAGGGAGGGGAGGCTGAACATGTGTTTTATGTCCGACTGTTTGTGGTGCTATAAGCTGCTATCCGAGATGGAGGGTTTGGGAAGAGGCTCTTAAAGAGACAGGACCGGAGAGTCGACAGGACGATAGGCATACAACTACCACTCCAACCGTAATTGTTTATATTAGGAATGTATGCAACTCTGCCTATCGTCAAATGTGCCTCCTCCATGCTAAGCGTCTTGTTGGAAAACATGTAATGAGGCCGAGCTCGGGCCATTGGCTCAGGGAAAATCATATATATTCTAAAAGAAAATTATTATTGATGATATGTCTGAAGCAATGAATAACAAAAGAAGTAACCTTTATTTTTGTGAACATATTTTTGTATTTGATATTATTATTTATTATTATTATTATTATTATTGTCACTATATTTTTTAATATATTCATTTTTTTAATTATTATTTCTATGATGTGTATGTCTTTGTATTTAATTATTTGCTTTCACAATTCTGTCATGTACGTTATTTGTTGAATTGTTGTGTATCTATGTGGTAAATGTATAAAAATAATGGTTAGAAAAAGAGGGACAGGACTGAATTGATGATGTCACAGCAACTAGCTACTGAATGCCGTGATGTAACACATGCACAATAGAAATGTGCAACCAGTGTAGGGATGGATGTCCTTTAGCACAAACATGCTCCATTCTGTATCCACATCCCATTTCCTCATCTCACATGTTCATTCTGCCGACTCCTCATATTTCCCTTCTAGGCCAGTAGGCTAGCAGGCTACCATTAGCAACACGGCTGGCGAAATGCTTCCAAGGCCCAGTCCACTCAGTCAGTCAGCCATCTGCCCGTTTTAACGAGCAGCTCCGGGGCTTGTTGTACTGTGCATCTATGTGTGCGTGTGCGCGTCTCTAAATGTTAGTGTGCATGTGCTGCTGCGGCCATGCAACACGATAATGTAACGTATGAATATTCACAGGTTTGACAGATCGCTTTCATTGCTCATTAATAAACCTCTTTATCTACAGTATGCCGACAACACAGGTGTGCTGAGCAACTGTTCGCCTAACTGCAACCAAATAGAGATCATTGAGAACATCCCCTGAAAACATTAAATGCTAGAGGGTTGCTTGAACAAAGTATTATGACACTTGCAGACATGTGGACATAACAATTAAAAAAGAAACTGCGATAGTTTGCCGATAGACAGTCTCAGTACTGTTTGTGCAGGCATTTTCTGGGCGAATGAGCCATCTCTGCTCTCATTATCCTCGTAATTATGGTTCAGTGTCTCTGTGGCATAATCAACATCAGCAACATCAGTTAATGGGGAGGCAGAGAAGAGCAGACTGATCAGCTGGGAAGCTAATATGACTTCCTGGGATGCTCTGTTATAGCTTGTGAACAGAAGAAAATGGATGTGCAGATAGAGTGGTGCGGTGATGACTTATTTCTGTAGGCCAACCCTGAAGTTAGCATCAAAAGCGCTCCTCGACAAAAAGCAATGGGGTTTTTCCATTAGATTTTTAAATATTGCAGAACATCTAATCTGTGGCAAACGGGTTTATGATAACGTTTGTTTCAGCAGAATAAACTCCACATATTAGCACCACTGTATTTTTAAGTCTAAATGCTATTGCCAGAAGTAAAAAGCTAACGTTAGGCTATGAACATACATCACATGTAAGTACATCACAGTTGCACTTATGTTTGCGGTGATGACATTTAGTATTCTCATTTAGTTTGTGTTAACAACCGCCATTTTAAGTGAGATAGAAACTTTAGAAATTCACAAGTTCTTAGAACAAAAACATTTCTTCAGCCTGGTTATCCACAGACTTTATTTCAAGTGTCGGACCAAAAGCACTGAATTTGAAACAATCATGCTAAAGTGCAAACTAATTTCTGGGTTTTGTGACTCATTCCTGCACCACTCTATACAGTAGATGTGTGTGTGAGAGGGAAAGGAGGTGGGCAGGGGGTCGGTTCTTCCTCCTGGGTACAAATGAAGGTTACAACAGGCCTGTGGTGAAGGCACTCGTCACACTTGCTTTGCCCCAGGCTGAAATGTGACCGTGTCTTGCACTGTCCAAGCTGTCTGGCTGAGTACTTGGCATTCCTAGAATCGTGGTTGTTTTAACACAAGGATGTCATAGCTCCCCTGTCAGCTCTCAGGAAGCTCTGAGACAAATAGACCTCCACCTCCTCCTCCTCCACCCCCTCCTTCATCGACAGAGGCAATGAGCAAATGGGATGAAGCGAAAGGGGGGCATGTCCAGTCCGTCTGCTTGACTGCTCTGCAACCAGCACATCGCGTGCTGTCCTGAACAATGCCACAGGCTAGAATGGGATTTAAGCTCCAAACAGCTTCGTTTGAGCAGCAAATCATGAGGCACGTTACGAAACTAAATAGAGCAAAACCGCTGCACGGAAATCTGAAGATGCTTATTTCTAAATGCATGATATGTCATAGCACGTAAGGGTATCAGACACAGTTTTAAATAGCTCGCAAACAGCGCTATAGGATTCAGTGAGCATTCCCCTGATCTTTGGCAAAATGGAGTCATCCCTTAGCCATGTCAGTGTACTTGGCAGGAAGTGGGTCAGCAGTGGAGGAAATTTGACATGGGTCTGTTCACACAAAAGGTTATTCTTTACAGTTCAAACACAGGAAGAAAAGGCGTGTAAGATCAAAGTGAAATGGGTATTCTTTGGTTTTCTAGAAGCAGTACCGGGGTTATTCTCTTGGTCAAACTGAGCCCAAGGCTATAAGAAATGGCATGTTATGAAAGATGTAAGCTTTCAAATTAAGTAGGCCTTGACCAGCAGCAAAAAAAGTATTTGGAGAACAATGTATTTCCTGGAGATGTAAGGAAGCAAATTAGACTTTTACTCTGCATAATGTCCCTCTTAGTATACATACATATTAGCCTACAAAAACTAGCATCCCTGTGTCTTTAAAGGTGTGGAGAAGAAAGGAACATTGTCGAAAGAGCTGCATATCATTACACTCCCCAAAAAAAGAGATGACCTTGGCACAGAAGCAGAGGAAAAATAGATTGAAGTTATTTCTCATCCAAACTGTGTGTACCTTCAGGTCCCTGCACCACCTTGAAGGAGCTGAATACATTTGATGGAGAAAAAGAGAACCGAGTGCTGTAATTTCAGTCATATCAGCTAATCCACCGTATTCTCATCAAAAGTAAAAACTGTGAAGGCAGAGGAAACGCTGAGCACATCAACGCCAATTTAACTCCTGCATGAAATACTTTCCAAAAGAAGCTGTGAGAGCAACAGCCTATACAGATTATATATCCTGTGTATGAGGCATTACAACATTCAAATACATGAGTATAGCTGCCTGTGCTTCATGTAAACTTGAGTAAATGCTACATAGCAATCAATGCACGTTTTACAAAGCGTTTCATAAATAAAGTTTGGAAATCTCATTCAGCAATCTGTTTTGAGATTTTTGATGGAGCAAAAAACATTATGTTTAAAGCTGCTCAAGATTTTTACCTTTTAACTTCTAGTGAAAAAAGCAAATATGAGGTGTTAAAATATTTTTTGAAAGTCTTTACCTGGAGGCATTCGGCAAAAGCTGCCATCGGGTCAGTTTTATATTTGTAAGGAACCCCTGTGAATTCTTTTTTTACAGATGGAAATCAATATTCAGCGCTTGACACAGAAAGCTCTGGAGCCAGCCCCTCTTACCTTCTGTGCAGTATCGACCCACATATCCCGTTCTGGAGCAGTCACAGTAGGTTTCTCCATCTGCCAGCGAGCAGATCCCGCCATTCTCGCAGGGGTTCTCCGTGCAAAGGCCCATCATCTCCAAGCGTACCTTCTGACTATTGATGAGCGTTGGCAGCTTACTTCCATAAACAAGGTCTGTGATAATTCCCTTGAACGGTGGCAGCTCACGGACAGAGGGTAGGGTGATGGCAGATGTGCGGATGTCCGCTGGTAGCCCTCCCAGGAAGAGGTCGCTAACGATCTTCATGAAGCGTCTCTGGGGCCGCACGTCTTCCGTCTTGGTGTGGCCATCCACGGCCAAGCCAGTCCTCAAATTGTGCCTGTTGATGGCGGCAAAGTGCCAGCGGCTGTCGTTGACCATCTTGTCCGAGGTGATGGTGGTCTCCGCGCAGTCAATGCTGATACCAAGCTGTAGCTTACCCTCGGATACGGCGAGAACTAGGAAGTCGCAGTAGCCGCCGTCGTCAAAGTACATCATGAGGCCTTCTGGTTCGGAAGTCTTGAACTGAAATGTCAGGTCACTTCTGGAGCTGGCGTCCCAGCGCAGGTAGCGAGCCCACTGACCTTCAGAGCCAGTAAACTCCAAGCCTACGCTCAGGCCCAGCACGGTACTTAGAAGCAGGAAGACATGACCAGGCAGGCTGTTGGGATTCATCGTAGAGAGTAACAGGATGTACCAGAAGACGTTTAAACTGGGGATAGATCCTCAAAGTGATAATAACATCTGGCTGAGCTCCAGGGTTTATCTGATGAATGTTATATTCCACGTAGATAATTTTACAGTTAAGCGGAGAAACGCAATATCCGGGTTTTTTTTTATTTATGAGGCAGATCTAAGGTTGATAATGGACGGAATGTAATTTTCTCAGCCAAGTCGATTCAGAGATTTGGAAATATATCCAATTTCCACACAAAGTGGACAGGTGAAAGTGCAAGGATGAAGGTGGTCCTTAAGGAGCTTTGTCAGTGATTCAGAGCTGCATCTTGGGATTTTTCTTTCAGGCGACTACCTGGATTGAAGCACATGACCTTCATCGTTGGTCCGGTTCCGTGCCCCATGGTTTGACCTCCAGCTTCGGACACACCTTTGACAAAAATGCAGAAAAAGACAGATCAGTTTAAGGTAAGACAAGGCAAGTGCAAGTGCTTTACAAAAAGGAAAAACATTCAAACAAACAAGAGAATTATTTAAAGTGGACCTATTATGCTATATTGGAAAAATATATTGTAGGGCCATACCTATACAAAACATCTCTGTGAAGTTGTTTGCTTAAAATACCAAACAGTTCACCCATTGTAGCCATGCCTCATACTGCTCATACCCCTGTTTTGCAGCCCTGTTAGAGAAACGTGGATCTTGGGTCCTTAGCTTGAAAAAAAAAAGAGGAGGCGGAGCTAATGCCTGATCAGAATTCTACCGGAGATAAGGTTACATTCTGCTGTGATAAAATAACATCCTGTTCTAAACCACATCAAGGATTTTTTCTGAAACAGTATGGAGCTCAAATGCTTTTTCTCTTGCGGGTTTATCACAAGGTGAGTTCCTTTTTTTATTTCCTGCTTTTTAAACACATGTGCTCTACAGTACAGGTTAGCTCTGAGTGTTAGCGAGGCTTGCTAATGTAAACAAAGACGTCCAAAACACGTCAGGCATTGTTTCTGATAGCAACT